GGTTTGAAAATAAGAGTCTAGATTACAAAAACAAAGTCTCCTCAAAATATCTCTGGTACACAGGTGACGTTTATTTACTTATAAGAAAAAAACAAAGGTTTCCTTAATACTAGGTAGACTAATGCCTCTATCTGCTAAGACTGTGTTTCTGCAACCTATGAAACAAGACACGATGCTTTCCTCCTCTTCCAATAATAAAGTCGTCTAATTCTTCATCAACGAAGGTATGAGAACAAATCTGTCTTAAACATAATCTCATTCCACAAATGGCATTTTTATACTAGGAGACGTATCTTTCCTGGTGGTTTACCACAAAAATAAACTTAAGTACATTTAAAATGCAGTTATAAAAAAACAAACAGCTTTGAGTCTCACAGAAAGGGCAGTTAAATAGTCGATTTTAAACTGAGACCTCACACACTTTTTAGAGGTCTTTTAAAGACCCTTCATGTGTCTCCAAACAAAGCATCTCTGTCTGATCACCAATGTAAGAGGTAAGCGACGGCCGGCCGAAAGGGAGCCCAGGCCATCACCATCTCCCCACGCTGGCCAGCCCGTGGGCAGGCGGCGAGGGCGCGCAGGTAGGGCTGACCCCCCCAGGGCCGGATCCCCGCTGACCGGGGCCAGCGACCACGCACGGCGGCCTGGCTCCACTGGGAGGTGACTCTCCCTTCTGCCCCGCGACCGACCTGCCTCCTTCCTCCTCCGTGTGACCGGCTTCTCCTCCCTCCCGCGACTAACAGGAGCCCGTTCCTTTTATTTTCCTTTTCCTACCCGGCGTGCAATCCCAACAGACCATTTGCTTGCACAGTAATAACTATTTTCCACGCCCTATCACCTTAGTGAACAGCAAGCTACTTGAGGACAAAAATAACGCACTACAGCAAATTAATCTCTACATGACAGTTAAATAGTCCTAACTAGGACTAAAGGAGTCTTCTGCAGGGAAATGGCCCGACGTGAGATCAGGAAACAGGACTCGCATTCTGGTTCTTAAAAGCAAGAGTAGCACACTTAAAGCTGCACTGTTGCTTAAAACAGGCGTGTCTGGCCAGGACTTAAAACTGAGGATTAAAACTACAGGAGACTGTGGCGTCAAGGTTTGCCAGCCTCACGCAGTAACTGCAATGATCACGCTAGCCTACAAGAAGGAACTAATGTGTTAATTACGAAGTAACAGAGATCTGCTAGGGTTGTAAAAACTTATTTTAAAGACCAGATATTTGCGATATTAAAAATAAAAAAGGTACACAGAAATGTTTGCTTACTTGTCTTTTAAAGGAAATTGATATTTTTTGGTGTGAATTGTAAACTTTCTATTTAGAAATAATTAGACTCTTCTTGCATTAAATTCTTGCTTTTGTTCTTCAGTTGATGAATTTGCATCTAAAACAATCTCTGTTTCTTAGGAGATCATCTGCTTCTGAAATGAGATGTGTTTATCTTCTTCAGAAATAATTTCCCCTAATTGAGACAAAACTAATTTTGTTATTCTAAAAATGGGCTATCCATGGCAAATGTATAGCGGGGATAACTGAACTTCAGAGAAGAACAAAGAATTTGTTTTTCATGACATTCACAAAAACAATCCTAGTCTGGAAAATATGATCTTGTATTTGAATAAACAAGGAACAACATTTCTCAAATTTTACCTAATTCAGTTACAAAAATGGAGAATTTTAAGCTCCAGATTTTGTAACAGAAAAAAATTTTGTAGCAGTCTTGAGAAAAAATAGTTGAAGATTTACTGTATTTCAAATTATTAGCACTTGAAAATAATCCAACAATCTTGAAATGTAAAGTTAATCTCTATTTGGAAAGAACCATTATAAAAAACTAGCATCACTTATTTTACATAAAAGGAATGCTAATACCATTCTGAATACATTCCTACTTCTTAATTTCTCTTGATTACCTTGTCTAGTTGTGCATTTATACAGCATCCACTTTAAAATTAGTTATTTACATCTGTAAATGGTACTGAAATTGTGACATTTTGAGGACATGATATACATAGTTTACAAAGTAAAAATGACTTTTTTATGATGAATCCAGTTAGCAAAGTGATACCTCCTCGCTATATATAGAACATATTTTTAAAAAAACCTGTTTATTATTTGCCCCACATTAAAAATTATAAGGTTTGCTATTAGGAACACTCATTTCAAATATGCAAATGTACACTAATATCAGCTGTGGCACAGAGTAGGTGCTCAATAAATAAAAATCTTCGGTCACAAAAATCAGTGCTTCAGTATTTGATTCTCGCTACACCAATGTTCTGAGAGTTTGAAGGAAAACTGGTCTTGTTCCTGCTCGGGGTGTTTAGAGTAGCTACTCTGGAAAACGCTTCCCACAGTGATTACAATAACTATCTCCTTCTGAACATGTGGGGGCTCTGGTCAAATGAACCCCCTCTGTAGAAGATTCTGTCTTGTAAAGACAGCTGCGACCCCATCTCGCACCTTGCACACTCTTCTGCAATGGAGAGGTGGGCGTGTGTCACTGCCCCTTGAGTCTACTCACAGTGAGGCTCTGTGTCACGTCAGCTGCAGTGGTGTGTTACATCTCTGAAGCAACCTCTATGAAGTAACTGTTCCTGACAGCAATCCTAACGTCTTTAATATGAGGGAATTAAGTCAGAACTTTCTTTTTTTACTGTATTCTGTGCAGAGCCTGTGTGTATGGTGGTGGCTAATCATGTTTCTAACTAGGTTAATCAATAAGCACAGAACAGAAATGATGCTTATGATCTGAAGCTGGGCCACAAAAGGAGATGGATAGATGGATGTTACAGCCCGAAAGTGGAGGCGATGCACTTGTCCATCCGAAGCTTAATGGAGAAACACAACGCGGCAGACAGAGGCAACGGAGCACCAGTTGCCATAAAAAGGAATGAAGTGCTGAGACCACGCTAACATGCATCTGAATCCCGACAACATAACGGTAAGTGAAAGAAGCCAGACACAACAGGTGACACTGTCATATGACTGCCTTAATATGAAATGTCCAGATGGGCATATCTATAGGGAGAGCAGATTAGTAGCTGCCTGAGGAGAGTGAAGATGACAGAGGAGCTAATGGGCACTGGGTTTATTTGTAGGAGGGATAAAAATATTCTGTAATTAGACAACTGCACAACTCTCTACAAACCACTACTGTGCACTTTGAAGGGCAGAATTTTATGGGATGTAATATAAACCTCAACAACAGTATAAAAATATATACTGTGCAATTTTCTAAAAACTAAAGAAACATTTCTCGATGGAGAGGGGTGGGGGGGGGCGGGGACAAGGATGCAGCCCCCAACTTGTTCCACAGCACACTCAGGTCTAGAACACTAGAACACACAGCCAGGCGTCTGAACGCCCTGGGCAGTAGGTTATGGTAAGGTGCGGGCGCAGGGGAGGCTGAAGTGTGTGGCCCTGTCCACAGCCCCGAAGATACGAGCTCATAACTAGCACCAACTGTCAGGACAGTCAAGGGACTTCTGACTGTCGCCTCCAGCCCCACAGTCTCTCCCCTCTGGCAAAGTCTTTCCTTCTGAGGCCCCAAAATCTGTGGAGTAGAGCTAAACCATTCCTGCTGTAGGGCCTCCCCTGCCCATGCCGCTGACTCAGCATCCAGTCACATGAGATGACCGTTGCTTACTGTGAGGTGTCACACAGCAGAAGTAACTGCAAATGACCTAAGATAGTTCCACGCCACATTCTTCCCTAGAACAAGTTTCGTTGTTAGGTATGCTTCCTCTCTGGTTCTTAGTCACTGTCTGACGCTTCGTTATTTACTTATTCTTCTGTCTCCCTGCACTTGAAGTTCCCTTTGTGTCTTATTCCTGTAAGCACATCACCCAGAAAAATTCTCGATACACAATACACACATAATAAATGTGTGTGGGATAAGCACATTGATAATTACTGGGGAAGCCTCAGACTGGCAAGGTCACCAGCTGGAGCTTGCTGTGACATGAACTCCAAAGTGTAACTGCTGCCATTTCACTGATCTGAAAGACTTTCCAATAGTTAAAACCCCTTGATGGTGGGAGTGGCTGCTGACATTCACCAGAAGAAGCACAATCTTCTACCTCTGTAGTGCCTACAGAGCTGTGAAACAATGCTAGCTCAATAAAATAAAATCTACAACCTACATATTTCTTGTTTCTAAGGTAAATCCAAAATGGTCTATAGACTGTCTGAAGTTATTCCATTTTAGAAAGTGATCAGGGCCCTCCCTGGTGGCGCAGGGGGTTGGAGCCCGCACTGCGAAGCTAAGCCGAGGCGTGGCCACTCAGTGCCAGCTCCATCCCCGCCCCGGAGCTGACCCACACAGCAGCAGATCTCTCCTGTCTCCCCGCTGAGCCCCTCAGCAGTGCAGCTTGTCAATCTGCCTGTTCTGCTCCCCACTCTGGTGAATCCTCTCACCCCCACAGCTCTGGCCAGGACCCCAGTTCTGTATGCATAAATAAATAATTAAAAAAAAAAGTGAGGGCCCCTCCTGGTGGCACAGCGGGTGAAAGCACTGCACTGAGAATCTAAAACCGCTTCTGCATGAGTTCGATTCCTTCCTGCCCCGGAGGTGACCACATGGTGTGGCAGACCTCTCCTGACCCGCCCGCTGCTCCCCTCAGCAGTGTACTTTGTCGATCTGCCTGTTCTGCTCCCCACTCTGTCTCTGGTGAAGCCTCTCACCACCCCTGAGCCTCTGGCCTGTACCCCAGTCTGTGTGCATAAATAAATAAATCTTTAAAAAAAAAAAAAAGTGAATCAGAGTGGGCATAAATAAAGTGTATAAAGCTAAGACAGAAAAACTGACTTCCCTGCTGTACTTTCAGGCTCATAAAGTTTATGTATTTTTATATAGGCTTGCCCCATAATACCACATTAAACAAGTAGGAACAAAAGAGACTGAATTAATGCTGACATCACATGAAAGCAGGAGGCACTGCACTTTTTTTTTTTTTTTAACTTTTGCAAAACATGGCCCAAAGCAGCTTGCTCTACCTCAGGGGCCAGGTACTCGGGCGTGCCGCAGAACGTCTTCATGGTGGCTGTGTCTGTGATCCCTTCCTTGCAGAGTCCAAAGTCTGTGATTTTGATGTGGCCATCTTTATCCAGCATCAGATTCTCCAGCTGTGCATTAGGAAAATGACATAATTTATTCTACAGTGCTCAAAGTAAAAAGAAGCTGCTTTAGGAAAATGCTGGGTATTTGTTAAAAAGGACATGAATGTAGTTAACGGAAGTGTAAAAAAGCAACAAGTTTAGCCCAATACTTTCTGACAATGAAAATGTTGATTTTTAAGCTAGTGAGAGTAAAAGCTTTTACTTTGTAAGTTCTGAAAGCGACAGTGCAACTCTTCAAAGAAAACATCGGTCATGATCTAAACCTTCGCAAAGTGGTGAGTGTCTTTCTCACACACACACAGATAGTTTTCACCAATTTCTCTTACGAATCTAAAGCTATTATGACATACTAACTTACAGAAATGTTTTGCGATGGTAGTTGTAAATCAGAACTAACTCTTATTTGTAAGGTAAGGCCATATCTTGTTTTGTAATTCTCTATTAAACTCTTTAAACATAAAATGAAAAGCAATTTCAAAGTCAGTCATTCATATACAGATATCCGTATAATGAATATTACATAGCGTTGGAATTCTTTGAGCCCATTAATTACAAAACATCCAAGAGAAACTTAAATGTTTAACTGTGTAGCAAGATTACTCAACTCATGAAAATTATGAAACACAATGAGAAGAAAACCCATTTTAAACAGTAACAGTTCAGGGCCCTCCCTGGTAGCCCGGAGGGTTAAATTTTAATAAGAAATAACTTTACTTCTTCCTACTTTTGCTGGTCCCTAAAATAAAATTAAACATCCCTAGCTTTAATGCAGCACTTTCCAATCTTTTGCACTCACAGTGGAGTAACACACGGCCCTGGTACCGCACAGGACGGCCCTGACTCAGTGCGGGAACGTGAGTGTGGAAATGCCTGCGGCTCCTCTAGGCACCTGGTGGGCCGAGGGAAGCCTTGACACCTGGCCACGTCTGGGGCCCACTCTGCACTTAGGCTGCAAGCTCTGCCCTCCCAGGCCCCAAGCTACCTGTCAGCAGGTCTGCAGAGGCCGAACTTGTCCATCTAGGTTATTTTTTGAAAGGTTGTCATTATAATTAAATAGAAGAATGAAAATGACTAGCACAGGATTTTAAACCACCAATTCTCTTCTATTTACTCTTATACCCCATTTCAACAGTTTCAAATTAATTTACCAAGTTAGTGCCTCAGACCTAAGAACGAGGTAAGGGGCCTCTGGGCACAGTGCAAAACACACAGCTCACCTTCAGGAACAACATGCCCGTGGATTATGAGTGTGTTGAAAATACGGAAAGGAAAACATTACACTTTCAACCCTCCTAAGCTAGAAAAGGATTCCTGACGTACAGCAGTAGAAATTCTACTCAGGTTCCCAAGGCATTTAATAATTTATTATAAAGAAAGAACGCAGAATGACAGCATACTTTAGTTTTAGAGGCGGAAAGGGCTCTTTATAACCATGGTGTACTGGTAGGAAAGAAGGAATTCGAGTGTTGCTGTCAAGATAGAATGGGAGTTGGAGGATGTACCCAAGAAGATAGTTCCACTTAAAAATGTGTGTTTATTTGGGAAGAACATCAGGAAGCTAATGAAGACTGAGAGGGAAAACAGTGGTTAAAAAGCAAACACGCAAACACACACACACACACACAACTCTCTGAAACCATCTCTATCACTGCTAAGTGTTAGAATCTACACACACATATACATATCTACATACATGTATACGTGTGTGTCTGATATCTCAGATCAGAAAACAAGATTAGCTTTTTCACAAATAGATGGTTGTGCAATTTTAAAAGGAAGGTTATGTTTGCAATAGAAGAACTAAAAAGAGCAGATGTTTATGACATAGTTTTTGGTGTACAGATGTCTTTTACTTCTTTGCCTAAATGAATCCTAAGGTATTTCACTCTTAGATGTAAGTGGGGTTGTTCTCCTGACTTTTTTCCTGCAAGTCCATTCTCTGTGTATAGGAATGCAACAGATTTTTATATATTACCTTATTAGCAGCCTCTCACCTTACTGAAATCATTTATTAATTCTAATGTCTTTTTACTGGTATCTGAAAACTTCTACATAATTAGAAGAAAAAGTATTATTTATTCTTTGAGAGCTTAATAGATTTTACTGTTAAAAACATCTGGCCTGCCTCCTTGAGGGAGGTTTCTAATCTCCCTGACTGTATTACTTCCAGCAGGTCTTATCTAGGTTTCCCACGCCCTCCTCACACAGTGCTAGATGCTGGGTGTTTCTAGCATTTGTCTATTTCTTCTAGGTTGTGCAATCCGCTGTCACACAACTGTCAACGATACTTTAGCTTAGAGTCCATGTTCTTTTTACAATATCCACACTTGCACACTGTGATTTCATTTGTATTTTCTCTCTCTTCTCCATGAATCTACATAAAGGCTCATCTATTACATTCTGTTAATCTTTTCAAAGAACCAGCTCTTATGAGGAATTTTTTGGTCTCGTTATTTCTGATCTAATCTTTATTATTTTCACCAAACTACTGAGCTTTGGTTATGCCTTCTCTGCTTTCCTCGTTCACTTATATGTGAGTTCAAACTTTTCATTCACGATACTTCTTGCTCTGTGAGGACTGACTGTGCGGCTATAAATGTACTGGTTTTGCTGCATCTCATAGGTTCTGATAAGTCGGTGCCTTTGCATTCATTCATATCTAGGTTTTTTGGCTTGTTTTTTTTATATTTCACCTCTGATTTCCTCATTGTTCCAATAGTTACTCAGTGATGTGTTCTGTATTTTTATATTTGTGTTTTTCCAACTCTGTTCTTTAGGTTGTTTTCTAGTTCCATGACAGTATGATTGGAAAAGATGCCTGATACAATTGTAACCTTCATAAATTTATTGAGACCTGTTTTGTGTCCTAATACACGGTCCATCTTTGATGTTTAACGATAGAATGCTATGTAAATATAGATGAGTCCATCTCGTTTAATGCATTATTTAATGTCGATGTTCACTGAGTGATTTCCTGTCTGGATGATCTGTCCACTGCAACTGACCCCTTTATTATTCTGTTGCTGACAATCTCTCCCTTTAGGTCATCTAACATTTGCTTTTCTACTTTAGTACACCAATGTAGGGGCATACGCACTGCTAACTGTTATGTCTTCCTGAAGCTTCGTAGATTAGCTGAGCACTATGCACCGTCACCATGGTCTCCTCTCTCTCTTGGCTGGAATTCTGCTTTATCTGACAGAAGTTGCTGGTAGTTTCTGCCATTTTGACTTTTTCATTGGCTTGCAGGACCAGTTTCTATCACTTCACCTTAAGTGTATTTTTCACTGTAGTTTAAGTGACTCTTTCTTGTAAGGGGCATATGGTTATTTTTGCTTCCAGATACAGCTGTGACCTGTATCCTTTGATTGGTGAGTTCATTTACATTAAGAGTATTAACTGAGGAGTTGCTTTTGCTACTGTGTCTTTAATTTTCTGGTTCTCTCTATTTCCCTAGTTGCTTGTGTGTGTGCATTCCCTTTTCTATTTAGATTGGCATTTTTGCAACATTTCTTGAAGGGGAGCTGTAGTGTTGGCAAACTCCCATTTCTGGACTACTGATGAGTTCTTAGAAGAGATTTCTTAAAATTTTTATGCTATCGTGAAGCAACCAATCTTTTTTAAGTAATCATAAAAAATGTGGGACCTTATTAAAATAGAAATATTTTTAAAGTACAACAAAGGGTTGTGATAACTGTTATAAATACGTTATTAGGAAAATGATAAAATAGCTTTCATTAATTTGCACATAAAATGAAGCTTTACCTCAAATGAGGCAGCGGCAAACAGGTATTCACTACCTGAGAGAAGCAGCTACCACAGGCACTCAGACAGATTTGCATTTGAATAAAGACAAGGTTACTGGGATTTGACAGAGACAAATCTCAGACTGGTCAATCAAAGTGGGTCTAAGTCAGTTTCAATGATGTTTTCAATAAATCTGGAATAATATATTTAAAATAGTCACCAAATTTTAAGTTTACAAAGATCTCTCAGAGTTAATCCAGTGTATTTCATTGAGATTTTATTTCAGTTCTAGAAGATAGTGATCCAATGAAAAGAACATTAGGCCCCTATAATATTGACTATGCTGCCATTACTTTGAGTAATTACTTTGAGATTTCAGTGACCTCACCTATAAAGTATGGAGTAGTTCAAAATGCTATGATCCCATCTAAAGGAGCTTATTCTAGTAGGAATACTCTTGCACAAATAATAACACTTCCATATATTTTAAGTATTTGGTGTTTTGCAGTACATGTCTTCTTCTTGGTGTGTGTTCATGTTTACTATTCTGTATGTTAACTTAGATTCTGAAGTTTTGACTTTTTAAAAAATAAACTTACAAAGTAAAGGACACTTAATTGTCTAGTAAGGGTATGAGCTACCCATACATATGATAACTGCATGAGTAGTATTCATGTGTCAAGCTGTGCCATAAATTTGGCGTAATTTCACCACTGGAAAAGATGAGACAGAGACAACTGTCTAAATAACTGGGTAACACCAATCACCACAGGTGAGATGGCAGTGAAGGGGGAATTGTGATTAAATATGCCATCATATATAGATATATAACATATTTCAGAAAAACCAAATTCAATAAAGATTCATGTAACTTCTTTTTCTAACAAACTATAGTTTAAATACCTTATTGGTAAGATAATGTCAAATTTTATTAGATTATGATGCCTGTATCATTTACTTTTTATGGAAGTAAGATGGTCACATTTAGAATATGTTTAAAATGTGTCACAAGACAAATTTCTTAAGACAGCCAATCTCATTCAAATGGCGTCCTGGGACGGACTGTGGCCTTTTAGATGGCTCCCCTGCCATCAGCAAACGTAGCGTGTGGGCAAATTCTACCCAACTGCCTGTTTTTCTAAGTGAAGTCTGACCAACATAGCCAGACATGCTCATTCATTCACTACCTGCTCTTTACAGAAAAATTGTCAATCCCTGAGCTATTAGGGTTTCATTAGAGAAGAACTTCAAGAACTCAAGTGACTGTAACTGCTAAAACAAATACAGAACTTTTAAAAATAGAAACAAAAAAATTAAAGGCCTGTATGTTGGAATGCTTTAGCATTCAAAGCCACCAAAGAGGTAATACCAAAATCAAGAAAAATATTTTCTTTCCAACAAATAATCTTGTATGTTATAAAAGTGTCTTCATTACCTACCACAGCATATTATAAATATAGTAATGAAATATATTTTAAAATGTCACGACCTACTGATTTTTAAACAGAAGTTTAACATTAATAACATTTACAGAACAATGAATCTAGTATTGGTAAATGATATTTGATCAGAGAGCAGTAAAGCAGACATTATTTTGCTATCAAAAATTTAGATAAAGGGTCCTCCCTGATGGCGCAGCGGGTTAAAGCACTGCACCAAGAAGCTAAAGCCACTTCAGCATGAGTTCAATTCCCGCCTGCCCCGGAGGTGACCACAGGGCGCCGCAGACCTCTCCTGACCCGCCTGCTGCTCCCCTCAGCGGTGGACTTCGACAATCCGCCTGTTCTGCTCCCCCCTCTGTATCTGGTGAATCCTCTTCCCGCCCCTGCACCTCTGGCCTGTACCCCAGTTCTGTATGCATAAATAAATACATCTTTACAAAAATTTAGACATAAAGGATACATCCATATCAAATCAAAAAATGAAATCTCCTGTCAAATGTAGAGAGTGATATTCATAAGCACAGCACTTTCCCCAACGAAATAGGCTTTTCTTTAAACTGTAGCACTTTGTTACTGTGTTTTCTTTATTACCTCCATAAAAATAAATTTTGATTACTTTTTTTTTTTACCTTGAGATCACGGTACACAATCTTTCCAGAATGTAGGTAGTCCAAAGCAGACACAATTTCTGCACCATAGAAACGTGTGCGGTCCTCAGAGAACACCCGCTCTCTCGACAAATGGAAAAACAGCTGCAGAGTAAACAGCAGGGACAGGATTGTAATAATTACTGATTTAGTGGGGGAAATTAACACAAACATAAAACACCTCTCATCACCATATTGTGATGATATATTGTGTGTTCTCGGTGGACATGAGCACTCTCAGGCAGCAGCTGGCTTATCTTTTCCAGGTTTCCAAGGGGGGAGTGCGAGCTGTTAAATCAGCGTTTTAATCAATACACCAATCTTGTCTAAGGCATTCTGCTTGCTACCCATTTAACCTTCTAAGTTACCAGAGGAAAAAGAGTGCCTGATCAGCCTCTACTTCCCTCCTCACGATGCTGCCGCTTTTCGCCTTTCAGTATTGGCTAGTGAGCCATTATTAAAACAGATGAGGACATGCACAGACAGAATTTCTACTCAGTTACTTGCTTCACATATCATGTCAGTGGTAAGGCCGCTGACTTGCTGAAACTGACCTTTGTGAGCATGTTATATTCTATGTCTGTTAATTCATCATGGTACCTCCGGAAATATTTTCAAAGTGTGAATCTGATTTTATGGAGAGAAGCACAGAGGCTTTAAGTTACTACTTTGATAACACCCAAAATGAACGCCCATCGGTTCTCAATATTGTTTTCACTAATAGTTAAGTATAAACCAACATTTTCTCATATAACCAATAAATCGATCAGCCCATTCACCCTTAGTTAATCATCTATAAGATCTACCACTCAATAGTCAACAAATATTTATTGGAGGCTCACTATGGCAGAGCATCAAGCTTTCACTTTGGTTAGTTTTTAATGGAAGAAACTGCTTATCTCATCTTAAATTTTGGCAAAGCATCTGAGGAAGAAGCAGGTTTCAGACAATATGACTAAATACTTGACTTCTGTTGTGCTTTACTGTGTTAAGAACTCCAGCAACTTGTTGGGACCATTAACAACGACATCAGGCACAATAACAACGACATCAGTTTTCAATAACAAAGTAAGCTAATGCATTTGTGTTGTTTCAAGTTAAAAAAAGAGAAGAGAGCTGCCAAGAACAACTGCCAGGGCCAAGTACAGAGCCAAGTGTCACAGTAACACTTAAGATGTCTGTGATTAAAGACACTTATCTTTGACTGCAAGGCATTCATTCCACCTGCACATGGGTGACTAACTCGTAGTGTTTTCACATGGCGGTAAGAACACACAAGTCATAATGTAGGTGATGCCATAAAGGTTCCATACAGATTCTTTTCCCATCTCTACATAAGCCTATCACTGGCTTAAGGTAAACTTTTGTGCATAATACACAGTCATAGTAAAAATGAAAAAACATGTAATTACAGCCAAAAAGAGACTGGCTGCTTCACAGCTGCATTAAAAGAAATGAAACTAGACAACACTCTCACACCTTACACCAAAATCAACTGAAAATGGATCAAAGAATTGTAGCTAAAGCCTGAAATCATAAAATACACAGAACACATTAGGTAGAACATTTCATGACATTTCCTCCTCTGAAATTCTAGGCAGGAAAGTAGGTTCATAGATGTTGAAAGCATGTAAGTCTTAGGATTAGTATCTTAGATGCAATGATATAATGGTTTATTGACTTACTTTATAAACCTAGCCTTGAAATACTATAAGAATAGTAAAGGATAGATACTAAAACCATAAAAACATAAAAGGTTATAATAAAATTAATTTAGCCTTGAATTCAAACAGTGATGGGAATATTAGAATTGATCTTTCTTGGCTTGACAATTTTTTTCAAAGTTTTGGGTAAAGGTAAAGAGTACTCTAATAGACCCATGAAATATATTAACAACTAAAATCATTATCAAAGAAATTAGCTTGTCAGAATCCAAACAAAAATGATGTATATACACTCATATATTTAGTAAAATTAAAATCATCACTATGAATATGAAATGATGCTTTTGGTTTAAAAATTCACCCAACTCATACCTCCATAAATCAGTAAGCAGAACGAGACTCCTTACTGCTGGCACTTATATGTTATATGAATTTAAGATGATTTTGGTTCACCGAAAACAAAATGCCAGCCAAATAATGAGTATCTGAAATTAGTACAACAAGATCTAAAGACTGGCATGAAACAAAAGTCATATGCTTTTAAGAAAATGAATTTTATCAAAGAAATTACTAGCGCATGCACCATGTGTAAAACATGAACAGCAAATAGCTCGGCGCTCGGCCAGGTACCTTGGGAGCAGATGCAGGTCTCTGTCCAGGCCCCGGCCCCCAGGGGAGCTCACCCACTCGCCATCAGGCCTCGGAGCACCCCGACCCGAGACCTGGCCATCAGGGCCTGGGAACGGGAGCACAGCCCACCTAGGCCTCGAGAGCCTAGGTCTTACCATGAGCCCGACCCCAGCCACCGAGTGTGTCTCACTTAATGTTCAGTAATCAGCAACTCAGGCGCAGACACAGGCTGGCCCTCGCCGTGGACTTCCACAGCAGGTGGAAGGGCGTCCCGCTGGCACTCAGCCACATGTGACTGGGGAAGACACAAGCCATCGGGGCCTTGCTCTCTGTGGTTCTCTTCAAGATCAGGGCTCTCCAGCAACTATTCCTGAAAGGTCCAAGGTCTCCTTCCAGGACCTTGGAAGCAGACATGTGACCCCGTTCAGGAAGCTTTGGGCTTCACTCTGTTCTCTCAGCCAATGGCAGAGGCCCCGAGTTGCCTCTCCTGGAAACTCAGACTCTCTATCCAGCATACACCCCTGTCCTTCCCCTCACCAGAGCAAGCCCAGAGCACTTTGGGGGAAGCTATTAGCACCAACCCAGGTAACAGAAGACGTCAGTACTTGTGCCCAAGTCAAGTAAATGCCCAAAACACTGGGAGAGAAGGACTCACACACCACAAAGCCCCAGCTACAGCAGGAGAACTTCCTAAATGTTAAGAAATAATCATAGAAATATGAAAAGGAAAAAAAGAACACCAAGCTCCTTCGGTAAAAGGAAAACTACAGCAAGAGACATAATAGTAAAACTTCCGAGAGACAAGGACAAAGAAAAAATAATGAAGTTGAGAAGGTAGAAGAAACAGATAACATAAAGAAATATAGGCTGACACTGAATTTATTTAAAGAAACATTATTGGCAAGAGAATGACAATATGAAATTACATACTCAAAATACTCCAAGAAAAAAATCACTGTTAAAAAGCATTCTATCATACAAGGTTCTCCTTTCTCCATGAGAAAGATAAGGGCCCTCTAAACAAAGAAAATTTTAGGCATTTTCAATCTAACAAAACACCCCAGAAATATTAAAGGCTTTTAGGAATTAACCAAAGAGAAAAAAGAACACAAGCATTTGAAGAAGGAAACAAAACCACAAAGTAAGGAACAAAATGTCAGTGACAGACATTTACATGTCAATAAATCACTCTATATGTCAATAGGCTGAACTCACTGAAGAGTATATGGCGGGATTAAGAAACAGAATCCAACCTTCTAATACATCCAGGACATGCCTCTAAATGCCAAGATAAACACAGACTGAAAGGGATGAAACAATCCTGCAAGCAAATGGCACCCAGAAGAAGGCAGGGTCTTCCATACTAATATCCAACAGAAGAGCCTTCCAACTTAAAACAGTAAGAAGAGACAGAGATGAACACTCTACAATGATCTAGGGGGCAACAAAATAGGAAGCCACAATGCTCATCCATATATACTCACCAAGCAGCACCAAAATACCATCAGACAACAACTGTCAAATCTGAAAATAGACACTAGAAAACACAAATGTGGTTGGAGACTTCAACACCCCGCTCTCACCAATAAACAGATCAACAGAATAGAAAATAAATAAGGGCATTAATCACACTAAACAAAGAACTAGACCACATGGTGTAGTAGACTTTACAGAAGACTACACACACAAAAACTCCAAATACATATTTTTTCTCAAGTGCATATGGGTCATTCTCCAGGATTGAACACATAGTGGATCACAAGAAAAACACCAACAAAATTATGAAGACAGAAATCATACCAAGTGTCTTCTCTGACTATAAAGGTACTGAACTACAGATTAACTCTGAAAAGAAAACAAAGAAATACTTTCATATGTAAAGATTTAGTAATACACTACTGAACAATCACCACATTAGTGAAGAAATCAAAAAGTACCTTAAGGCAAGTAATGAGGATACACCTTTTCAGAATGTACAGAACACAGAAAAAGAAGTTCCAAGAGAGAAGCATATAGCAATAAAGGCCCACGTTAAGAAACCAAAAAGAGTCCAAATAAGCAGCCTTGTCTCTCATTTCAAGTAACTAGAAAAGAAGATGAAAAAAATGCAAGCAACTAATAAAAATGATAGCAGAAGTAAATGGAAGAAACCAAAAACAAAGTCCAAAAGATCAATGAAACCAAAACCTGTTTTTAAATAAACACTACAGACAAACCTTTAGCTAGGCTAAGAAAAAGTGGGAGAAAACTCATATAAATAGGAACAACTATGAAAGTGGAAAAGTTACAACATACACTGCAGAAATTTAGATAAGAGATTATGCAAATGATTCTATCCAATGAATTTAACAACCTAGATAAAATGGAGAGATTTTTAGAATTACACAATCATTTAAGACTGGATAAGGAAGAAAGCAAAAACCTGAACAAACCAATCACAAGAAAGAAAATTAAAACAACCAAAACTGTACCAAAACAAAAGCCCATCACAAGATGGCTTTATGACCAGAACTCAGGAGTTTCCTTCCCTTCACCCGCTCATCCCCTCAAGAGTTCTACCGAACCTTCAAAATATCTATCCTGCTTATTAGACTATTTAAATATTGAGAAAGAAGGAATTCTCCTAAACATGTTTTGAAGCCAGTATCACTCCAATGCCAAACCAAAGAAAGAAAACTACACACCAATCTCCCTAATGAACATAGACACAAAAATCCTCAATAAAATATTAGCAAACCAAATCTAACAACGTATTCAAAAGATTTTACCTCAAGACCAACTGGAAATTATACCAAGAAAACAAGGAAAACC